TAAAAAAATATATTGAGATTGTAATAGGTATATTTAGTAGTACGGTGTCAGTAAAATCAAGTAAAACTCAGTTTTGTTTTATGATTCATTTATTCTTCGTAGTGTACTTCATTGAATTAATATATTTAAAATAGTGATATCGAGTGCAAAAATAGGTACGTTACAGAGAAATGTAGTGCTTTTAAAACACTTAATTAGGCTTATTACATCTTTTGCGTATTTTGCATTATCAAATATAACGGAAATGGATACTAATAAAGTATAATATACACATACTCTACAGTATCCACGTCTTAATTTATAAAATTCATAGGACATTTGCCAGAAGTACATGTGATAGTTTTTTAATTTAATTAAAACTTGCAGATTTGTCTCAAGTTAAAAAAAAATGTAATCTTATCATTATAAGACGTGAATACCTTCTGAACAAAGAGTTTATACACAAGCAATTTGAGTACGTGATATATAACAAAATCTATTATTCAATTACATCGTATCGTACGTTATCTAAGTACAAGTAAGAAAACCTTTCTTGAATAACAATAACATCATTTAATATTTCACTATAATAAATAAAACAACAAATTAAACAACTCGAAATATTATAAGGTAAATATTACATTTTCAGAATTTTTCATAATCACATCTTAGACTTATTCAAATACAAGATTTGCTCCCCCGATATTCTCTGGCAAAACATTCTTGTACTTTTTAAATTAGAAGACATTGGAGTACAATGGTGTTACCATTAAAATGATTTGCAGTTTTATATTGTTTATACAGGAATTAATATATTTCATTTTTAGATGTACACAATCCACTTAATAATTATTATGTTATTAATATGATACAAAACAATGTTATAAAATGATATAATGGAATGCTACGTAAATATCAACAGCAATGAAATAAAACAAATTTCTTTATGGGAATAAAAATATAACTTATTCATATAATAATAAATAAAATAGGTAGAGTTGTTAGTTTTACATACATTGATTGGAAAATCTCTTGCTTTGATAAACTTAAGAAATCAATAGTAATAGACAATAAAGAATATATAAAAGTGTTCGATTCTTTTGGAAAAATATGAATTTGATAACAATAGTTAAGATTTGTTAAAAAATCTACAATGAAACTACTATAAGGCAATATATATCATATAAAATTATACAAACAAATAGTGATGTATTCGAAATTATTCTATAAACTAGTGATATTCACTCTCCTTAAAGTTCATAATAGTTAGAATTTGGTCGAGAAGTATACTAATACTCTAATATATTTTAAAGTAGATATTAAATCTTGATACACAATGAAGGCCTCCAATACAATATTTACACAGACTAGTAATATCTAGTAGGAAAGTATCATTATGTAGGTATGTACTCGTATATATTAGCGTAAGTGTAATAAGTATACTATTAAAGTTATTTAGTAATTGTACCTATTCATATACATATTTCGTAAAGAGGTGTAGAAATAGGAAAATACTTTTTATTTAGAGGAATTTCCAAAATTCATACTTATTAGGTACTTAACTTGACTGTTATTATACTATATAATTCAAATTAGAATTATGTAAAGGCTCAGTAAAATACATATGTACGTACATAGATACCTGGTTAGTGTGAAACAAATCTTTTTTTTTCATTTTATGAATATTTTAGGTAAAATATATTTCAAACAATATTTTCCAAGATTTCATATTAAGCTATTTAATGAATATTTTATATATCTTTCCAACGCCAACCACACAGTACGCTAAGATTAAAACCTTAACATTACAAATTATTTTCTATGACGTGGAAAGTCGATGATGCTATTATGATAAAGTAAATGATTACCAAATACACGTAATTCTCTTATTATTATATATGGGACAGTGAGAACCTCGAGATATATATCTATATAACAACGACATAAAGTATACATAAACAGTATTACGGTGTACAATCGCGCTTACGATAAAAATGAACTTACTTTTTACATTAAGATCAAAATTCTCACAGCTTTGTCTTTCATTGATCGCTTAATAGCGAGTACGAGTAAATTCGTTAAACACTAAAACTATTAGGTACATCTAGTACATACGTAGAGGTATTTGCAACAGTCACAATAATAAAAATGATAATGATACTACTCGCACAATTGATCTTTACAAAGAACGCACGCAGGGATGATACACGCGAAAGCAACCATGGTAAAGTGGGGCAACACAAGCATCTGTCGAGCGATTATGATAATATAACAAAGGGGCTTAGACAAGACGTCACTCCACAAGCGTTGAAGAATAGAAAAGAAAAATGTATGAGAAGCATCGGCGTACTATTATAAAAGCCAAAGTTTTTATGTGTATGTATGTAAGTTGGTTACTCTTACACGCTAAAACGGCTGGACAGACTAGTCGGCGTGCTAAGTTTTATCCAAATCCATCCAGCCGTTTCAGCTTAAAGGAGTAATAAGCATACACAAACACACATATACACACTATAATTACAATTAAATAATACCTAATGCGAATCTTTTTTTATATGTTGGAACATTAACACACAGCACTATCTAGTTCCATGGTAAGCTACGAGATACCAGATAGTTGATACACTACACATGTATAACTTTAAATAAATACATATTATAAATATAAACACCCATGACTGGAGTACAAACATTTGTGCTCATCACACAAACGAATGCCCCCAGCGGGACTCGAACCCGCGACCACTGACACAGCAAGTACACTACAAACTGAGTCAAACCAGTAACTATCGTAATCTATCATTCACTGTGGTAATCTATTTAAACATAACAATTAAATTTGCCATATCAATAGAATTTTTAAAATGTCTATTTTTCAACATTAAATTGTGGGATGACACCTTTTATAAACCCCCAGGTACCTATATCACATCTACATAAAAAGAACAAGTACACAAACCATTTTCATTCAACACGTCCCAGGCGTATTCTATGCGGTAAACAATCTAACTGGTTAAACTATTACTGAAAACGAAATTAAGGAAGGTGATTGTCCCACATCACGTTTCGATCTCGTATTATTAAGATTTCTAAAGCTTAACCGTAATCGCTCTGCAGGTCCGATACAATAACGAATCTTGTAAAGCCGACGAGGAGAGGGAATATGTAGGTGGGTATATGTAATAAATAGTTCTATGAATAAGGATTAAGGAATGCGCAACGACACCAGCGTTATGTTCTAACTAGGGTCATGATTAAACAATTACTAAGAGCATAAGTCTTGTATACATATTTATAGTTGCCTTTTTCTTAATTATTAATAAATAACAAACTAAAAATTCACCTATACCTATAAATAAAATGGTAGGTATTCTCGGTCTTACGCTCGGATATTATCCCCAAACTGTGATACTTTTGACACTACCACTATTAAATTTTCGTAGAGAGAAAGCTTTGGTTTCTCATTAAAAAGAAGCTACTCGTGAAGTTTCAACTTGTTATTAATCATTAAGAAAATGGCGTGATGTAGTGTAGACTATTATATTTTTGTATGCCTATGTTATTTGTAAATACGTAGTGTAGTAAAATAATACCATTTTTTTATTAATTTTGTATTTTCAAATTGATTTAATTGAAATTATTAAAGAAAACAAGGCCAGTAAACTTTTGTAAATCGATTGATTTTTTTGCGATTCTAACTAAATAATCGATTATATTACCTACTTATTTAAAATCGTGACTTTACTAAGAATAGAAATTAAAAACTAAAATTAAAATGCTATCGCTGACCCCGGCTACCATACTGTACTTATAAAAACATATGGTATACACAAAAAATGAATAAATATACACAAACCATACTTCGATAAGGCAATACTAATTCATACGTATAAATATGAAAATTGAGATCATAACAACGATAAGCAAGTCGATATTATATAAACAGACAAAGCTAAATGGGCATTATTATTGCCGAGTGTATCGAAACTATCTTACAACAGCGATCAATTAAGTAATAAGGCCTGTTTAAATTACATTAATGTACTAATAAAGACAGAAATATTTCGTGATAAAATATATTCGTCGTGTTTTCTAATTTAATTAAAATTATTTACACACAATATATACAACCCCACGCTGTAATTTATTATTCAAAAACTTTGCGAGAGCTGTCTACGAAATTCAAATTAAGCATTAGAACTTTCTAAAAAACATCCAATCACAATTTTAGATGATGTGCATTATGATGATGATGAGAACATTAAATTTTTAAATTATTATTCCTCGAATTGTACTTAACTTTCGATAAAATATTAATTTTTCTATTTTTATCGATATTTTTGAGTTAAATTTAGTAATTAGATATATAACAGCAAAGATAAACTGAGACTATATTTTTTCGGAAATAAAAAAAATAAAAAAAAATAAAATAAAAATAAAAATATTAATTAAGCTGTATAATAAGACAAGACATAACGACTATAAAAATAATATTTGTTGAGTTTTCTTAGAAAAATATACCTATTTTATAAAATTATATAAGACCTAGTTGATTCTGATCAAAATGGACAATCAAATATTATGTAATATTGCTATGACACTATAATATTATCTGAATGAAACACTAATTCTAATGAGTTTCAATAATTTCTAACTAATTTAATTACGTTATAAATATAGATAGATCACTTCAATGTGAATATTCTAAATCGAAATAGTGATTAAAAATGACAAAAATTTAAATATCATTTGGTGTTTGAGTAAATTATGATTTAGGTAATATATTATGTAAAATATGAAATTATCTTTGTAATTATAATTTAAAGGTACTTCATACAGAGTTCAAAATTATTTTTTTATACCATAAAATTTATTAGTTATTATAGTGTTGTAATTTTCAAGTGGTCTCGAAAAAATCTTCCTATCAATTATTATTAGGAACAAGAAAATAACTGGCTCTTACAATTTGTATAATACCTGTTGATAACTATATCTAATGATTAATAAATACTTCGAATTCACACAGCTGTTTCCAGATCTTCTGATACTAGTTGAAAGTGTTCTTGACCTGAAAAAATAAATAATATCGTAATTATCTCCAATGATTTTTAACAATTGTTTTTAACAATCTTATTAAACCTTATTGTTATATTGTGTACGACCTTAAAGTAATTGATAAAGAAATATAATATAACGTTATAAGAAACCTAGAAATGCTAATTTGATTTACAGATTTTTCATCCACTTGGTTAAAATTGTAGAAATCGTTAACTGCCCGTTAAAATAGTATATTGGAATAAAAACAAGATAATCTTTATGAAGTTCATATATTACAGAAACTTTTTCCTTCCTACAATGTCATACATACATATACCAGGAATTAATTTGATTCGACCTGGGATTTGAACCCAGGATATTCAGTCTGCAACCAGACATGCTAGCCACTAGTTTAATGTAGAGTGAACTTTGATTGATAAAGAGAAATAATCATAATGATAAGTACATATAGTATTTTAATGCTAAATTGATTATATTTATTATTGCGTGATTTTTATGAGCTCATAATATTATCTAATCTTAATATGAAGCGTTTTGCTTTAGCCCTCATCAATCATTTATCATTCATAATTTTTTTTATACTTTATTATATAATATATACGTTTTCAAGAAATTTAGTATACAGGGGTTTGTTTAAAATGTTTTTTTGGCCAAAAACGCCAAGCGAAGCTCGATCTCCCAGATACATATTATACTGGTAGCGTAAACGATAAATATTTCTTCATTTTACCACAACAATTTTTTATTAAACTGCTAATGTTCATTAATTTCATATCAATCAGTTTTATAACTAAATTGGCGACTGCCTTCACTCGAGTGCATCTCTATGTGCTTAAGCTTATGTTTTACTCCGAGTCATATTCTTTGTACAAAATTTTATCAAAATTCGACCTACCATTTCAGCGCGATAGAGCAACAAACACACACACATAAAAAACTATTTCATTATTATACATGTATTATATAATGAGCAGTGTCACTAGTGGCTGGATTAAATAGAAATACACGTGTAGATATATAATCGTATAATATCACTTACTTTCCAAATAGGCAGCTAAGTCGTGGTCATCTGCCCTAAGTGCTAGATGACGCGGGGTGAGACCGTTGTGGTCCTGACGGGAGAGGGAGGCGCCGCCCGCGACCAGCATGCAGCATATCGCCCGGCGCTTGTTCGCCGCGGCCTTGTGCAGGGCGGTCTGGCCTCGCTCGTTGTCCCGCATGTTCAGCAACGCCGTGGGAGCGCTCGCGATCAGATACTTCACTATATCCTTGTTACCGTATCTGGCGGCGATGTGTAGAGCTGTCTGTCCTGTTGCGTCTATCGATAGCAGGGAGTACCCTGCAGTGTGCAGCTCTTTCATCTGAAATGGGATAGATAATAAATATATATATACGAATATTCGCCTAATTAGGGAGTTAAGACGTGTCATTCTACAATCGTTAAAGAACAAAATATTAAAGAAATATTAGTTTTTCCATAGTGCATAAAACTCCTACGAGTATGTTTAGTTAGAATATTTTATTTATTCCATAATACGTCAGTGTCTTTACAAATGAAGTCTGTTCTGTAGGGCTGTTCCATAAACTTATGAACAATTTATTTGTGAATCGATGCTAAGTGTGTTTATTTGCTCATCTATTCATATATATAACAAAATTCTAAGTCGTATCCGTACCGTACATTAAATATTTTTTGAAAATCTTATTGATATAGTCATCGTTATCGATACAGAGGCCGAATCTATGGTTTTTAGAATTTTTGTCTGTCTGTCTGTCTGTCTGTCTGTCTGGGAATGCATCACAAGAAAACTACTGGACAGATTTTGATGAAATTTGGTACGATGATAGTTGGTTATCCGGGTCTACATATAGGATACTTTATACTTCCGGAATATTTTCCGGCTATCTAATATCCCATCTCTGAGATATCTATACTATATTTATATAGTACTGGTTTTCTCCTACACTCGTTATGTCATATAATCGTTAGTATCTGGACGACCGAGCTTCGCTCGACGATTTTCGGAAGAGATATAAAAATTGCGTTCTTTGAGACAAGACACCTACACCTTTGATAAACTTAAAAAGCAAAAGCTTATCTAAATACAAAATTTGCTCCAAATCGCTACAGCCATTTCTGAATTCAAATCATAATGCTAATACCACATAAATATTATTCTCCTTATTGTATTTTTCAACGACTGCAGACTGACATCTTGTATAAGGCCCTAAGGCCGGATTTAAAAGTGTGGGGGCGCGCTTCAAATAATATTGCAAAAGAATTAAAATTCTTTCCATAGAATGAATTCATTATTTTCACACAAAAACCAATTTAGAAGAAAGAGAAAGAAAAATATATTTGTGAACATTGTGTGATCTCAGAGTTCTGACTGCGTGAGCATGCAGATGATGTAGATCCCTTATAGCGTTACTTCTAAGATAATCTTTATACAAATATTATTTACTTAAAAAATAAAATATGTACCAAAGATAAAGTTATGTATATATTACTTAGATATTTATAAGTATTGCCTCCGTTGTTAGTTTCTAATCGGACAATAAAGGATTTGAAGACGAACATAAAAGGTTATTGTTTATGCGTACCATTTTCAAATCACCGACTTTAGCCGCTTTTAGAAGCGCGTCCGTTGTTTTCTCCAATAATTTTCTGTAACAATATCAAAGTTAAAATATTGTTCTATTGTGTATTATAATATTAATTAAATAACATAATTTCATGAGTAGTAAATAAATCTAGGCATTGTTATTTTGTGACTAGACCTAAAAAATAAAAAAAAAATCTACAAGATAATACTTTCTTAGATTTACGCGAATGTTTGACATTATTAAATAAAACTATCTTTTCGGATTATTTCGCGGATTTATTTTGATTTTTGGTTCCCGACGTTATTAATATAATAAAATCAAATAATAAATATAAACATAACAGACAGGCAGATGTAGTAAGTTCATACTGTGTAGATCAAAATGACAGCATATCAGATTAATATTTTTCATTTGTAAAAGTATATTTTAATAGTGTTGCTTAGTAAGTTGTTTTTAAATAATAGCAAACTAAATTAAAATGATTATCCATAATTAATTTTAACTTTTTTAAATTACACATAGAACAATTATATGGCTTTAATAATTAATACTATATTTTTATATTTTTATTTATGGTTATAAATATAATAATGGCAACACTAAATATAGATTACTAATTAATATTTTTAAAATTGTAATAAGTATAAAAATAATAGCAAAAATTAAATAAATAATTTTCCATATTCAATTATAATTAAAATTATAAAAAATGTTTAAAGTTAAAAATATTGTAATGTAATTGGTGCAATTTTCATTTTGTTAATTGTGGGTAGGCTGTCTGTAACAACTATATCTTTAAGACATGTAACACCTCAGTCTCTCCCGTGACCATGGATGCTGTAAAGCATTCGAAACGTCGGGAACCAAAAATCAAAATAAATCCGCGAAATAATCCGAAAAGATAGTTTTATTTAATAAAAAACTACAAGATTACTACAGAAGTACATCTCACCTACAGCCAAACACTTCTTGATCAAATCCAAACAGTTTTTCGTGAACGCTGCATGCAATAGAAGAAAGAAGACATAGAGTGCAGATTATAGTTCCTTAAGAGTGCTCAGAGCTTTAACACAAGTGCGCTAAACATACTTAAATCTACTCATTAATAATCATTATACTTTCTATTTTATGTTAAAATGCCTACGTATCCTTATATGTACATGTAATAGCATTTAATACCTTTTCAAAAAAAAAAACAAAATTTATATACTTTGAATACGACAGAAAGAACAGAAATAAATCATATTTAATGTATACAGATTCGGCACTATCATCTAAATAATTCATGCCAGGACGTTACTGTATGATGAAAGTGGCGCCAGAATGTAAGCGTCGCAAAGTGAGATCACGCTTTATGATCCAAATCATAAATTATAAATGTAGCCTATGTATGTTTGTGACTTAAAACTACAGAGCAAATTTTATGCTAGCTTTCTATTCATAAATTTATCAAATATACAGTCCTCGTTTTGCGTTCGAGCCTAGAAGATAGGAAAGATATAGTAAGATTATTGTGTGTATATAAATCATTAAGGTTAAAGTGTGGTTGAATACTTACGTTCTGAATCTTGCAATGGAATCTCGATTTGTTTGGTCTTTTCCAACTGGTGGACTGGTGCAAAGTGGCGGAGAATTACTGTCTTGAATGGATGGAACTTTTGATGGTTGGGGGGATGTTTTGGCGGACAGAAAAGACATTTTGGAGGCGGAGGGAGGCATCCCGGAAGGCGGTGTTTGAGGTGTGAGTAATTCCTCTGAGTTTCGCGCGGGACTTCCGAATCCAGATTCACTGTTAGACAAAATATATTATGAATAGTTTTCAGATGAAAATTCCTCATTTCCTCATTACACGTGCAAAACACAGTTTTTAAACTTTATATAAAACGACGAAATAGCGTAAAACATATCATAAATAATAAATAACATAGTGTTTTGAGAAATATGTACGTATTTTATGTAATTAATTTACCTTGTTTAATATTATGTTATTTAAAATATTTTACGAAAATAACAAACACAACATAATTTATTTAAACAATAAACTCATAAACTTTTTAATTTATAAATGTTGTGAACGTAGCAGCAAAAAGTTGATGAATTTGAAATTTTGAAATACTCGTAAAACAAAGAAGAAAATTTAATTCGACTTGACGTCGCCCGTGATCGGATCATTGCGGTAATCAAATCTCTACCTAATTGTATATCCGAGCTCTGCTGTAAAACGTAACACGGTAAACATTAAATTATTTACAAATGAACTACGTAACGAGTGCTAATGTAAAATTTAAATTTTTGAATTGGGTTATGTTGATTGTAAAATAGCGATATTTAAAAAAAAAATCGTGTATATTGTATTAATTTTACAATTCGTGTATTATCTACATAATAAAATAATCATGACCATTTTTATATATTTATATATTCTATCCATTTATGTAAATAAAATTAAAATTAATTATTCTGCATACACCTCGAAAGGTTCCCGGCGCAATAAAAAAATCTTAGGACGTTTGTCTAATATGCGTTCCTAAGCCATGTAAGTTCAGGGACTCCGGCGAAACGAGAGTAAGTCGCTAGTAGGTATCTTATTGAAGTACTATGATCAAAAAATATCTTGAAACTTTATTTATATGGACGTGTATTAAATATATATATAAAATACCTAACTTTTTGTGACTCAAAACCGATAAATCTATAAGAATTATACTGGTATATTAATAATAATATTTAATTCCTAAAAAGTCTTCGATAGAAATAATGGTAATATAATTAGGTACAGATTAAATGAACATTATTATGCTCACCTAGCATGCGATTCCGGCACATCCAAAGAGACACCAGCACTGGGTGTATCTACGCTTTGAGATATATCTAAAGACACAGATAGACCAGTGGTAGTGTCTAGCGACACAGATGGCCCGGTCCGGTCTAAGGACGCTGTAGCCGTTGTTTCCGGATGAGCCGTTGATTCAGTGTCCGGTGTCAAAGGGGCTGCATCGAGAATATAAATATTCTCATGCCCGATATCCGTCGGATAATGGAGATTTTCTTGAGCTTTGTCGATTCGAAAGAAACGTTCTGCTGTCACCGCTGAAATGAATATTGACTTGCAAATATTCTACCATTGTACTAAAAGTTAAAACTATTTTTATTTTTATTCGTTCTTTATTTTGAGAAGCTAAACCGAGTCTCTATAAAGGCTACGTCTAAGAAAAATTAAACATACCAAAGGGGGAAATGATTTTTAATTAACTTAAATTCTTACATTGTACAGAAACCTCAACAAAAACGAAATTTCCCAAAATGAAAATCGAAATGTAACACAAAATATAAGGGTGGGTACTTACAATCGACGAACCACCAGTCAACGAGGTTTGAGTGTGTTTGAGATTCTTTAATCATGTTTTGAATGAGAGTTCGCATTTGTTCTAAGTCGGCCGCCGGATTCACTTCCAAAGTGCCGATCCGTTCCGCTAGAACGGGTACAATATTAACGAGCGTACTTTGAAAACTTTATCAATTTGTACTATTCTCTATATTTTTATGCATTAATTTATTTTAAAGATAATGCTATCAGTATAAAATAACTGAGACAGTAATGTTCAAAGTTATTATACCGAAGTATCTATTATCACTATGCAAATATTGCTATACTCGTAATTTATTTCAAGTACAAGGAAACAAATATATTATATTACTTTTTAACATTATAATTGTAATAGACGGGGTTAATAATGAATAAATTAAAGGTTTAATGTCAAGATTACAAGGGTTACATATAGAGGTTTGAGTCATATTAAATATTTATATATGTTGTTTATATTGTTTAAATTGGTATGTAAAGCGTGAATCTTTTGTGGGTGATTAAATTATGAAGTACTTAAAAACTAGACTCGGGCAATTGTTTTCCAATGGTGGATTTATTCTTAATACTGTGCCAACAATTTAAGTTATATTTGTTTAAAACCTGTAGTGTAGGACATGAATATTTGAAAGAATCGTCTAAAGTTATGATTTCCACCTATATAATATCTGTGTAAGGTTAATAATGTTATATACTTTATGGAAAAAACATTTGTAGTCTCAGGTGTGGAACTATTTACAATATTTAGTTGCTGGCTGGGTGGAAAAAAGGTGATAAAATATATAAAAAATGTTGTTAGTAGGGTTGGCAGTCTTTTCTGTGTAAATAAAATATGTATTATATGAAATTTTTGTTACCTATTTGTACATAATAAGAAATTGTATCGAGAACGAAACGTACCTATGGGTTAATTTATTAAAAATATGTTTTTCAATGATATTTACGATGACAAAGTGACCAAATAAATCAGCTAAAATTTTGGTCTGTTAGTCTGAATAAATATGCAGAACGTTCAAGTATGAATATAATGGGACTTTTTTATTAGCAATCATGTCTGATGTCGCAGACTAAATAGAGTGAGCGCAAGGCGATAGACCAGAGCTAGTAACTTTATTACACTACTCTTAGCAGCTCGCTTTTGTCTCGCTCAGACCCTAAATGCAAGTGCATTGGACTAATATACAGATATCCTACAGCAAAAGAATAAAAAGCTTATATGCCTTTACATACCTACCATATGAGTTATTTCAATTTGTAATAATTTATTAAACAAACAAAGTCATTTTAGCGTTCATAATATTAACAGTAAGAGTAAACATCGTTAGACACTATTAATTTGTATAAGTCGTCAACTCTACTTGTTTAAAATATTTCAAATCGCTAAATGGAATATATCTGTCTATTAAACAACGCCTTTACGATAGGTACTTAATAGTTAATATGTTAATCACTACATACTACAAAATAAAGTCCCCCGCCGCGTCAGTCTGTCTGAACGCGATAAACTCAAAAACTACCGAACCGATTTTCATACGATTTTCACCAATAGATGGAGTAATTCATGAGAAAGGTTTAATTGTATAATTAATTAAGGTTTTGTGTAAATTGCCTGAAATTTGACGATGATTGTTGAATATGTCGGAAAAATTATGCCGGCTGGGAGCTTTATTAGCGTGCACCGCGTAAACTAATAAAGTTATAAGAAAATAATGTATTTACAGAATTATTCCTTTTGAATAGATCTTTCTATTAAACTGTATGCAACGATATTTGCGCGTACCTAGAAGCGCACCCACGCGAAGCAAGTCACTATTAGTAGGTATATTGCGCACGTTAGCATTTCTAGTTAAAATGATTTATTTAAAAAAAATATGGTTTGCTCCTATCACCTTTCATATGAGGTTATTTTATGATATAAGTACATATTTATATACATTTACACTTATTGTATTTATGTATAAATTCTTATTAACGTTACAAGGAAATATAAAACAGGCCTGTAAATAAATAAACAGTAATTTAAAAAAGGACGTAACGAAAGCAAATGAATGAAGGAAAGTTTTAGGTATTGGGGAGTCAATATGTTGTATATTTTACCTGTTTTAGCCAACAATTCCTTGTCGTAATGATGACGCTCATAGTCGGCCATTGTTATGAGATTCACTGTGAGGGAAAGTTTATCCAGCGTTGTTTGGCTAAAAATATTTTTATTACGTTATTCGTTAAGCTAAATCGTTTGTAGACTCACATAAATAAACATTGAAGATTTATGAAGAAATAAAGTTGATATTAATTGTTTTACTAGCTTTTACTTTATCTACTACTATCAATAGGTAAATTAACAATATAAGTATTTTATAGATTTTCTCTTTTTTCTATACGGACGACATATTTAAACATATCTCCATATGCCTCCAAAAATTAAACCGAATATAACAATAACATAACCTAAGAGTACCTACCTATATACGTATTATTTAAATGAAACCAACAAGCAATTTAGGTTAAAAAACATGTCTTAGAAATCGTAGATACATGAAATAATGCCTATATTACTCATAAATGATTACCCTTTTTTTGGGTCTAATAGGTTTTTCTTAAATACATATATAAACATAGTTTAAAGTTTCGACAACTGAGGGACGCTCTGGTTTTAGTACAATAAGTATGTTTTGTTATATTACTAATTGTATACTCACGGCACTAGTACTCTTCCGGGTTTCTTTTTAGCGAGCATAATTGCTTGATTCAGTCTGCACAGAGTAATAACAGAGGGCGCCAGTCTACAAGCTTCACCGTCCACTTGCATCGGAATCACTTTGGTGGTTACTATTTTGGCCGTCTTACATTGTGTGATACAAGTGCCGTGACCACCCGCTTGCAGTAATGGCTAAAAATATTATTATGTTTAATAATAAATATTATTAAGTCTACGTAGATTTTGAAATGCATTCATGTAAGTATGACCGATTCGTCCCGATATATTTTCTATATAATATTATCGTATTTCGGCCATTACTGCCAATGTCTAACAGGGACTATCGATATATGCAGGAGATACTATAGTGCATAAGAGATATTGCGCATAGGTATATAAAACTAGCGGAACCCGCGACTTCGCTCGCGCTAAAACTACAGAAAACCTCTAAAAAAGTAGGTTTCATACAAACTTTCATCCGCTATTTTACCGCCTTATGGCATGAATTTCGAAAAAATCTAAAATACGTATTTATTTAATTGTATTGAAGAATATTAATACCAAGTTTCACGTGGTTCTGATCATAAATATTTTTTGTGTTGTATTATAACGTGTTTACCCGTGGGAATGAGATTATCTCCCGCGGTATAAAGTAGCCTATGTCACTCTCCAGCCCTCCAACTATCTCCACACAAAAAATCACGTCAATCCGTTACTCCGTTTCGACGTGTAAGAAAGACAAACAAACAAACACACTTTCACATTTATAATATTAAGTATGGATATGCACGCTCAATTCAATCAATCTCATAATCCACTAGGAAGGCAAATCTATACGTTTTGATATGTATGTAGAATTTATTTTTGATAAAAGGTCCAATAACTCTTAAATCCTGACACGAGACTCGAGCCCTGGATCTCATAATCTCGACCTTATACTTCTTTATATAAAAAGAAACTGAAAAGAGTGCTCTTTAAGATCCTTTATGTAAACGATCCATCAAAGAAAACACAATCTAGATAGAAGGCACACAAATAGCTGCATCGACGTAAACGAATTTCAATAGACGCGAAGATATCGCAATCGCATTATGGAATTTAATGGAATAGGTACAAAATGGTAGTACAGTAGGATATTATTGCAATTCGCGCGAATCGACTGCGATATTAAAACATAAATTGTTGCTAGAAACTTTAAATTAATGTATTTTTACTTTGTATTAGATAAATCTTCTTTAAATGATTAAACTGCGTCTTTGCGATTTAATTAGGGATTCTGTATTCGTATGTAATGTTATTCGTAATCACTTTTTTGCGAAATTTTGGACATATTTTCGTGTATTTATTAGGTTAACACGTATATCTTTACAATCCTATTCCTAAAAAAATAAGTAGGTACATAATATTTTATGAAATGAAATGAAATTGATTTAATAATAAAAGAGTTTTCAAATACATTAAATCCGTTGTCGGGAGATCCTTTTAAGTAAAAATATACCTGTGCCAGGATGTCCTGCTCTTCCGTAGAAAATTTCTTAAAAATTTTATATCACCATAGTCTTATATTAACAAAAACTTATAAATAATAGCAAAAATAATTTTATGATACTCACCAACTGATATGTGGTTAATCCTACTACTTCTATGAGGCCATCTTCAGTCGATGGCTCGGTAGCTCCCATCGACTTGTTCCAAGGGTGTGTTCCACCCCCGTAGCTAGTGAAAAATAAAAAAAAACTGTAATAGTTCTTTCATTAGAAATATAACTACAAAATAACGTTACAATATGTTATTGTGTCATAAATAAATCTATACTAATATCATAAATGTGAATGTTTGTAAATATGAATGTATAAATGTTTGTTACTCTTTCACGCCAGAATGGCTGAACGAATCTGGATGAAATTTAGCACAGAGATATATTATAGTCTGAAATAATACATAGGCTACTTTTTATTCCGGAAAAATATACGGTTCCCGTGGGATAGGTTTGTTTTGCTTTCCTTAGCGAAGCGAGGGTGAGCCGCTAGTACAATATATATCTCACAAATATATATCTACTAAATATTTCATGTTTTGCTTAAAAAGTGCATACATATGTATCTTAATAATATTATTAATAGGTAGGTACTATAAGTTCATATTAAAATAATTACTTAATTGTCTAAACGAAATTGATATAGAAAAATATTTCAAATGCAAGGGTTAAGGTTAGTATACATAATACAAGGGTTTATAATATATATTAATATATTAATAACCTTAAAAATATAATTTCATAATTTATTTGAACGTCAGTAGGTACTTACTAGGTATTGATTTAAAAATTTGAACAAGATCGATTTTAAAATAATTAAAATCTCATTTGCCCCGATCGCTTAAATTACTTGTTTGAAACGGATATTATTATTATAGATAGCATCATGACATAACTTTATTGCTAACCTAAACAAAATTGTTTGTTCCATTACTATGAAACGTTTATGTTTGCGAGTTGGTTTAGAAAAATTGTGATAATTGACAAATTATTTTCCCTTATAATAAATCCAATACTAAATAAAGAATGTAGGTCAAAGATAATGATATATATAATAATATTGTATCTATAACAAATAAGGTTATTGGAAATAAAATATATGTACGTGTATGGAAAATATAATATTTAATATATATTATTGTAAAAAACAGCCTTGTTGCCAATGTTGTTCGCATTACCCTTATTGAAATAAGTATTATAATTACTTTTTATAAAAAAAATATCGACTTAAAATCTCTTAAAATAATTAAATTTAGCGAAGCATATACAAAAAAAATGCTTTTAAGTATATTTTTGTAATCGCCACTTAAAAAAAATATTTTAATACCCTACGATTGGTTTGGAATTTTTTTTAAAGACAAAAAATGGCACCTGAAGTCCGCCATTTTAATTTTTAAATATTTTTATATAGCCTATGACACTCGTGATATCAAGACATAAAAACAAACATACATACATAGACTGATAAACACATAACCTGCCTTTGCATCGCGCAGTCGGGTAAAAACAGTACATGTGTGAATTGAATAGGTACCTACATCTAATTTTAAGAAATCAGTTAAAAAAATAAATCGAAAATCTTAAGTATTACATACCTTGGAATGTTTAAGAATACAATAGCATGGACTTTATGCTCTCGGAGCACAGGTGTAAAATCTTTTCCATCGCACTCCATAGTGACGAATTCAGCAAGACCTTTCCATTTCCTTTGCATTAAGTCCTTGCCACCCGCAGTTCCGTAAAATAACTTATTTCGTATACGAGAGTTGAACTTTTCCGGATGCGCCTCTAAAATAAATGATACGGTGGATGATATATGATATTTAATTATATTTTTATATTTTATTATAAAAATGCAATGTAAAAATATCGTAAAACTTTATTTACCTATTTTATATAACAAGCTTAATTTCTATTAATATTAAAATTACTTAAATTAAAACGGATACGAAATGAAGTTAAATACCAATTTCTGGGGAAAGTTCTTAACAAAGGTCAACGTGTAATTGTTGAAAAAACTTCAAAATTGGTCGAACAAAGCCTGGTATCTGATTATGGTAATTAAAAATATTTAAGATAAAACTCTAATTAAGGCATGAAAGTTAGGGAATAGAAAAATTTACTTCGAAAAAACGTAGTAGAAAAGGAGTGTACCTATAGAAAATCATACGTATTTGTACGAGTATGTAAGTAAAAAAGTCGAGTATTGGCAATGCCATGTAAAAATATTATAAGGTGTGCAAATAAAATAATGAATAATAAATACAAAAAGGGAAAAACATAATATGACATTCAAATATCAAAACACCGAGACGAAACGAGAGTGTGTCGAAAAATGTATATTTTATGAAGGCTGAAGCTTATTAATGTTAAAATGATTCGAATGTATATAATCAATATACGTGCAATGTAAAACAATGTTGTTCTGAATCAATTCATACATTAATATTACAGCGTGTTTTAAAGTTCATAGGTCATAACTCAATAAAAGCTTTTGTAATTGCACCGCACGTGCAAAATTAACGTTAATTGCTATTAATCCAAGCATATTAATATCATATAATATTATATGTTTTAACTTTAATCAATTTGGTCAGAAAAGTATTATTTTTTATACAAACTGTCATTGCTTTAGGGTTGAATTTGAAAACATACTTTTATAGCGGCTACTTATGTTATTTATAAACTGCCTCAGTGGTGTAGTGGCTAGCATGTACGGCAGCACACCCGGAGGTCCTGGGTTCGAGTCCCGGGTCGGGCCAAGTTTAGTTATTGAGTCTTTCTGTATAGTAAGTCTCAGTAACAGCCCGGAGTTGGGGAGTTGGCGGTGTTTCACCCCCGTGCCTCGGAGAGCACGTGAAGCCGTCGGTCCTGCGCCTTAACTCTCACCAGTCGTGTCGAGTTGTCGTCCCACCGGAGTATGTGAGTGATACGAATAGAGAGCGCACTTGTGTCTGCGCGTACACTTGAGTACTATAATATCTCCTGCGCAGTTGGCTAATCTCAATAGATTGGCCGCCGTGGCCGGAATCGGCTAGGAGAACATCATCATCATCACTTATGTTATTAAAGGACAGGACCGACAATATTTTTTTTAGACTGGTCGGTCGATTTTTCGGTCCAACGATTTGGTCTGGGCTTAGAAAAAGTTTACATATGCATATTAACATGACTGACGTAATTCTAGCAATATAATTATAATATACGTTACGTATATATAATATATATATCTCGACGCAAAAATCAAAACGATCTATCATGTCCATTGCTGTGTAAAAAAAGAATATTATAAGTCAGATAATATGCAATCTATACAATTTTTAGATCTATCTATGACATTAGAGACAACAACAACCTTAGTCTGGTTTTAGTGAAATTATCAAAATATTAATACAATAAAGCCTTAATTGTTATGAAAATATGGATTTTACACGAAAAAGGATGTTTACTATTCGTTAAAGGTGTGTTTATCTTTTTTAATGACTTATTTATTTATAGAAATGTATGGGAATGTTTTAACTTTAAGACACAATAACTTTTGACTCTTTCGTTTCCTCAAAATAAATTTTATATATTTGGACTCCCTGTCGCCTCCCCTATCCAAACCCACCTACTCCTTCAGGCTCCACGTCTCATATACTAAACTGCAGCCATATGTAGCTTAAGTGCAATGTAATAATACTTTAGATATGAAATATAACAAACTTACCTCTAGCCTCATGAAATTCAAGAGCAATGTGCGCGTCGACGCCAAACGAGAAGTAATTATTCACAACATTAAGTGGCAGTTCCGGCTTCGCATTGCTCGTATCCTCACCAGACGCAGCTTCATTCGGTTCAACTTTTAATTGCCATCGATCTAGTAACACAGTGTCACTTTCACCGATATGAGCTAAGATCTTGGATATGGGCTCATCTTCATATCCCTATGAAGTAAGAGATAAATTAAAATTTTTCTATGTTGTAATATTTTATATATGCGTTTTCCTTCATTTAATACCATACGTATATTAAAAAAGTTTAAGGATTCTGAAAATGCCTCCTAAAATACCTCTTTATCGTGGAATTTCCAATAAGCTTTTTGAAACCTACATCTATGTTATAGTGTATTAACTTATTTCTTAAGTTATTGTCAGTGTAAACATCTTAACATTTTAACAACTAAAATACAAAACATCGGCATTTCTTTACTGCATTTGATTACATATAACATTTTTAATACTTTTTTGAGATAGATATACATAATTTTTGAGTAATATAATCCTATCGAATGAATATGAGCGTGAAGCGAAAAAATTTTTTGTTCTTAGCTTGTGGGTAGGGAGGGGCAACACAAAATGTTGAGTAAAAATTTTTTTTTTCAAAAATTTGTTTTTTTTTTTTATAAGCTACAAATTCTACCCTCAACCTAAGAAAAAAAATCGCTTTAACCTAATGAATTTTTTACCTACTGTTTAAAATGAAAATCCATCAAATATTTTAGGTAGACACGGAAAACAATTTCGTTTAAAACTATTTAGAGAGGTATGTGACATTCTTGGCAAGCCTCGGAAATCAAAGCAAGAATTTCAGTTTTTAATAGAAGTAATTTTATCGTATTCGGTCTCCACGACACATTCAAAGGAAAAATTTCATAAAAGTTATTAAAAAAAATGTTTGTTATGAATTTATTATTATTATACTTGAAATATTTTTTGTTTACTTGGTAAAAAATGTACTTGAAATAATTAAAAACACAAGGGTTGTAAGAGAAAAATGTTTCAAAGAGAAATTGTAACACAGTTTTAGCAGTAGTTTTATGCGAATAAGGTCCATTAGACTTTTTATGTTTTTCACTAAATTAGCAGAGTTAATCTTTCGTTACAAAACTTTTGTATTATAATTCATAGTAAGAAGACAGAAAATTAAAATTCATGAAATAAAATAAAAAAGAAAAGCAAGAACCCTAAAACTATTTTAAACCAGCAGCGAGGGACCAATATACAAAATTTTTCTCTTTTATTTAATAAATTAATAAGAGGTAAGCTAAAGAAAAATACAAAAGGTCTGTTGAATTATAAATCAACAGGAATATTAAAATATTTGATAAATATAACATGTAATCCCCTCAGGGAATTTAAACGAATATTTTAAGCAGATTATTTCAGAGTGCTTTAATTTCACTTGGATTAAATCCTCCAGTTCCTTTATCCTTCCACTCCATTATTTGACAGCAGATTTAATATGAGAGGTAGTTTCAGGATACTTCAAATTAGCTATGGGCTCAACCTTCAACCTTCTTACTACTAAACTTTTTATATCAAACCTTATTTCATTGGACTATGACCTTTTTAATAGAAGAAACTTTATACCAAAATATAAAATTAAGATTTTTTATTACCTACTAAAGTATTTTTGACTATAACTGAAGCATTATTACGAAAATCAATTTAAAACACCATGTTTATTTTATTGAATTGTTTGTTTGTTTATTTTATTGAATACGAAAAACATTTCATAAAAGTTATTAAATAATATATAGTTTCAAGCGTAATATTGTAGCAATCTGCTAATAAGAACCATTGCAACTTTCAGTAGACACAATAAACAACCCTGTCGAACATCTTGACATGTCGAGCGTAACACCGAACAAGTGGAGTGCACACGTACGTATCAATCAAACCTTTAATATTATTATAACTGACAGTTAACTGACATAATTGTCTTGAGTGTTTTGTTCAATATATACTAAGTCACACGTAGGTATGGTATGGTTTGGTATATACGGGCTTGTTTCCGGAACTCGACTCGTCTGTGCGCCTATTTTGCGTGTCACTCTACACGTTCAATATTATAAAAACGATTGCCATACGATGATAATATGGACCAAGGCGGAATAAAATCTAATCATGGAAAAGGTTTGCTTATTTTATTATGAAAGGAATATACCCACTATATTAAGAAATACTATTCATATGAAATATATATGTATGTTTGGACAAATAAGTTTAACATAAATATTTCTAATATGTGCTCTTTAAAGGTCAGGTAATATGATCTCAGATGGTCAAAAGAATCCAATCACTGAGTTTATTTACGACCCATCCGTATTAACAGTAGATAAATCTGATGAAAAATTGTAATATTATAATATGTAAACTTTTTTAAATAATGAGTTCCATATTTTTTTTCTATGTACCTCATTTATTACTAAACATGAAGAAAATAAATAAGTTACATAGATTATGTAGTATTTAATAATAAATATTAATGCCAATAAAATATTATTGCAATTTAATATTTTTTATATAACGCACTTAACAGTTTATTTATTATAAGACTACTGAGTCGATTTTGGTGAAACGATTTCTCCGTCCAAAGTTAAAATATATTTAAGTAGGTATATAAAAAAAGGAAGTTGCAGATTAAGATAATCATACAAATATATATCTATATATATATATATATATATATATATATATATATATATATATATATATATATATATATATATATATATATATCTAAAATATGGTACAGGTTGTTTAGAAAACCGAATAGATTAACAACATATATGAATATTGTTTTGCAAATCAAATTTATAATAATATTACATTCACACGTGTAGAATTGCTAACTTCTTTTTCTTTGAAGTCGTTTATATATAGACTTGAGAGGGTAAAGTATGGATTCAATATGAAATTCATGTACTTACACCTCCCCACCCGAGTGCTCTTGCGAGATCATTTCCAGTTCCCAGTGGAAGCACTCCAACGGCTGGTCTCGAACCGATCCGGTCGAGTACGCTTAACACCCATCCGACTGTACCATCTCCACCGCACGCTAATACTCGCAAGTTGGGCACTTTGCGAAACATCTCCAATCTAGAATACGAATATATTTTAAAAATATTAAATTTGAAATTGAGTTGTGGAATATTCTTGTTTTTCTCTTTATATAGATTTAACATAAAAGCTGTGATGTCGCATTTTGTTTTGTCTTATAAAATGAACATTTTCTTATTTAATAAGCAGGCGTCTGGTAATAAGATGATAAAGTAAATAGGTATGTTTAACAACTACAAAGTTTCTTTGAGACATAGTTCGTGCATGGGATTGTTAGAAATACATAGCTTAAGAAACTTATAAACTTTGTTTAAGTAAACATAGTGAAAGCTTACACTGTATTTACCATCTTCTCTATATTCTGAATACATACATCTATTATATAGGAAACGAGGACTTTTTGAAATTTAAAATTGATTATATAATATTAACAATATATAAGCTACTCACCCTCGCTTCGCTCGGGTTCGTCCCTACGTACGTTTTAACGGTTAGTATTGATTTCTCGGAGATGAGATATTTTTCTGCACTAAAAATATCCTATATGTTGACCCGGATAACTAGCTCTCATTATACCAAATTTTATCAAAACCTGTTCAGTAGTTTCCTCGTGATGCGTTCCCATGACATGCAGACGGACAAAAATTCTAAAAAGTATAGATTCGGCCTCTGTATCGATAATAATGACTATCTCTACAGATTTTCCAAAAATGCGATATTAACTTAAATAACTCATTTTTTAAAGTCTTTGTAGAGAAGACCAAGTTCTTTTAAAGTAATTTGCTTCAGAACTTAAAGATAATACGATTGTGGAAGGTATAAAAATACTGAGGTAAAAGTTTCCACATACTTCAAAAAAAAAACAATAGGTTACGAACAAAAAAGATATTTGCAATTTACAAAATGTTGCAAAGGATGCAGAAAACTAAAATATGTGGTTATTTGTAAATTTTATAATATTTAAACTTTTATACTTAGACTTCCAGTACATTATGGTTCCCTTGTTTAAGAGCTTGATATAGAAAGGCATTGATTTCATTTATACTTCAATGTTACGAATAATAATAATAATTCCCAAGGAGGGTTGACGTCAGGCAGGCGGCCTGTCGTAAAACTTTTGCCAAATCCTATCAGCAGTACAGAAGATGTACTGCGCCGACCCGCAAGTGATTGGACGCGCGCAAGTGATTGGGAAATTGGCAGGGAGAAGAATTACGAATAATCATTATAGAAAAGAGACCATTAACCTTAGGCCAAAAAATATGTGCAATGTATTAGGAAAGCTCAGCCCAAGTATTTTTTACTATGGCACCGAACCTCTAAAACCATTTCTTCAGCAATGATTGGGTACTTTTATTTTTATAAAGTATTATAAAAATACTATATACAAATACTCGGCTGTATTGATCATAATGGGTTTCGTTTCGTGAACCCGTAAGAAACAAGAGGATGTCCAGAGAGGGTGGTCGGCACACCATAAATCACTACTACTGTAGTATTTAAACTTCAAGTCGAAAGAACTTGCCGTGATTTTTGTAAATTTCTAGAATCTGTGGCATGGTGAGATCCATGGCACTGTAAGTTAACAGTACCCCTGTGTAGGCAGATACTCCAAGCTCCCATGACGGAACATGTATGCATAAGGCTTAGAAATAATGGAATAAAGAAAAATGTTTTGGATAGCCTCCATGCTTCTCATGAGTGATTCACCCTGGGAACACCAGGTGCAGATGCTTAAGTTTCGTTACGGGCCAATGGAAAAGTTGTGTTATTCTTTACGCTAAGCGAACAAGGCACCATCCGTAAATGACAAGACAGGGTATCCAGCGGTACGGCATGAAGACTTGGTCGAAGTTGTTGACGATGAAAGCCCAGTGCACTGAAGGCTATGCTCAACAGAGACAGGTGATGTTTGGAACGCCTAGACTTCCCCAATCCGTAGACTCCAAGAGGAGAGAAATGATTCTATCGAGTGTGGGAGGTGCGGAACTTTCCCACACTAGAGCACCCTAAGAGCGCTTTCAAACTTTTACGGTTTAGTAAATCGGTTTTCGTATACTATAGTTTGCTGTATTCTCATAAAGTCGTACATTTGTTTACATTAATTTATATTTTTACTGCTCCTTTCGGAAAACCCAAATATAGTTTGGGTTACAAATTTGTTCAATTATTTTGAGTATTTTTAACAAATTACTTAAGGAATGGATGTAGAGATTGGTATCATAGTAACAAAACTCAGGCCGAGTTGCCTAGCAGGTCGTTAAAAAACATTTTCACGTTGCTCGTAATTCGGCATTTGTATCTGAAATAATTGACAATTTTTCAACGATAACCTGCACAGCTTTATTCTACTACTCTTTTCTGGAAATCCTTGTATAATTCCTGCTCTTTCCTGCAAGTTCACTTCACTAAATATACGTCTATTCATCTATTTCGAACTACTAAGTATAAATTAAAAAAATAAAACAGGAAATAATAACTAAAGGAATGATTGTAAAGATTCGGTGGCAATAAAAAATACTTGGGCTAAGTTTCCTAACACGCGCTTTTTTCGCTTGCACACGTTTTTTTCGTTAACTGGCACTTTGAATTTTAGGCTCAACTTAGTATGAAACGTGAACGGTCTGCTTTTGGACCTAAAAAAGTTAAAATAGAACTTCACTCACTAGTATGTTCGTCTATCTTATCTTTCTCTCCCAATCTTCTAGGCGGAAATAAGTTGACCTACTTACGAGTATAATACTTAGATACGTGTATCGAAAGTGACCCATTGCGTTTAATGAATTCTTTTGAATACATATATATGAATAGATATTTAAAAAAAAGTTTTATCAAATGCATTGTGTTATGTGCATATCTCATTAAAGGCTCGAAACTTTTTGATCAACAGATGTTCAAAATTTTGATAAACAGTAGGTACTATTATTTCATCTCTACCAATTTGTATATTAGAATTTGTTTTAGTCCTTTATATATAATTTTTTTTCTTGCAATAGGCAAAAATATATATTATACAAACAAATTTTGAAAATGAATGAAATTACATTTTTATGACATAATATCAAATTCGTGATTAAGTAACACGAAAATGTACATACATAAACACATAAAAAATTATAATGCCTAATAAAATAACATTGTAACACTACAAGGGGATGGAAAACGTGTCAAAAGATATTCAGGTGTAGGTAAGGTAATTAGATGCTTGTATAGCTAACAGCATGTATTTACTTATCGACGTATCCATAAATAAGTACTGAGGGCGGACACGTGTATGTTATTATTAATTGTAGAAAAACACAACCTTCTGTTCATAAGCAGAAATATTTATATTATTATTATTTGATTAATGTATGTATTCAGTTTTTAGTGTACAAACACGGTCCTTTTAATATTATGAGAATATTGATAGATAAAGTGGCTAAAGGAAGGCCACTCTAACAAATTAACAATTATTATTATTTTATTTATTGGATAAATGAAACAAACGAATTATTAAGTAGCATTTCGTTCATTAATTTTCATTGCAGAATCAATGATTATTTATTAAATTTAAGTTTTATTGAACTCTTCCAAAATGGCCTTGCAAGGAACAAGGCTCCATATCAAATCAAATCAAAATATTTTAATCAGCATTAAATTATTACAAATTTTACTGAACGTTATGAGTCTACTACCAGTTCGGAAAGACATACAAGGCCGATATAATCAATCAATCGTTTAACTTAAAACTAACGGTGTGGCAATCGAAATATCTGGTTATACTTAATATTCATAAATAGGTCTTTCATTAAAATAAAACATTAATTAATACATATCATAATATCTTCACATAAAAAATAGTCAGCGAATATTACTTGAACACTATTTCAAAACTAACGAGTATAATATGTACCTATAAGATGTATACAGCTTGAAGGTACTATAGAGGAATAATTAATTAATTCAATGAAGGCTCCATAATGGGTTTAACCAACGTAACGTACCTACTATTTGTATTCGATTAGTATAATATGAAATTAATTACCAAATACCTCTCTTAATTCATTTCGATAAGCATGAAACATAAGTTCGGTCGAATTTCTTAGCCGGAAAATCTCTTATATTTATTATGCCAAAGTGAAATGTTAAGTATGAATTAGAGTGATATTTATATTTATTCAAATGTATATTAAAAACCATAAAGAGGTTAAACTAGAAGAAATTTCCGCAGGAATCGTTTTTTTTAAAAAAAAAAAGGTTTTTTAAACACAATTACATACATTGACTTGGCTTAGTAATTGAATTTTCATTATTTGGCCAAAAACTTAATGTGACGACGATTTATATCTAAAATTCCGTAATTTCCGCATAAGAACAGAATTTTCGTGACATTAATTCCTCACTACATTTTCCCGAGGGTAGCTGTTCAATTAAACTGTACCTTACGTGCGAACTGGGAATGTATTGCGAATACACTAATCGACACAGGCAGATAAAACTTTTTTTTTATTTCCTTTATTACGCTTAAACCAATATTGTGTTAAGAAGAGTAGTTAACAAAAAATATATATGGTATGTATTGTATATAATATTTACACCACCCACCCTGGATAGTCTTCCATATTTCCTCACCTAAAGGTTGTCTGGAAGATATCGCTAATTAGCGATACGACCATCTTTTTTTTGGGCACACTTTTGTTTTTGTTTTATACTTTGTTAACTGTATTTACTTCATGATTGTGGTGTACAATAAAGTGTAAATAAATAAATAAATATATCCATTATAAATATTTCACCTCTAGTAGGTATATTAGTCTGGAAATCTTAAAATATTAGAACAAACCAAATATGTCGTAATGCAGTAGATAGTTACGTACCTACTCGTTATAATCATTATATCTTATATTTAAATTTTATACGAGTATAAGGAGTTTTCGTTGAGATGGCGTTTGTAGTGCAAAGATTAATAAGACTTATCGTAATTATTAGACAATCCAGACAAATATTTTAGCGTTTGTTAGTTAAATATATGTTTTAATTGTAACAAAAATTACCCTGGTCCAGGTCCACCCTGAGTAAGATCGAAGACTTGTCGCGGATTAAGCAGCCATTGAAATTTTTGCAGCAGCTTAGCACCTTGATTACCTCCACTCTTAGGATTAATGAAAACCAGCACTGGTTTTACGTTGGCAGTTGGAATAGGTTTAATTACAAAAGTCTTTTGTTCTCCTTTAGAGTCTTTTCCTTTCTTCTTTGCTGTATTCTTCTTTTTAGGAGATTTTCTTAACGAAGATTTAAAGCTACCTCTCCTTGGCAATTTTACTATCCATGACGGTGGTACTATTATGTTTGACTGAATGCCTGAAGAATACGGTATAAGTATATTATTTGCTATCGATAATAATCTATATCTATCTATTATTATTATTATTTATCTTTATTTTCACTTCTTTATTAGACCAAATTTTATAGAAAAACATACCCAAAGAACATTCTTCTCCTATCCTCTGTAAATTGAAACAACTTTCTTTGTTATGATAGGCGTCTTTACACCAAGAACAACTTAATGCCACGATTTCTTTAGAGCTAAACGATAATTTTCCTTGGAGGGACTGAAAAAAAAGTTTACATTATAATAATATTTCATAATACATGGATTAATTATTAAAAAAAAACTTTTTTAAACAATAAGCAAAATCACAAATAATAATAAGTAGCTTTTAAAGCTAGCGTTATAGCATGATACGCACACGATCACCTACTTCATCGTGTATTTCGATATTCTTGTCTACAGATCTTTGGGGTGTTATGCACCAATAGCAGCAGCTGCGCCGGAATGACTGACAACAAAACAATCATGCAACAAACATGCAAACAGGTGCTGTGGTTAAAAAACAAAAATTAAATATTAAATAAACAAAATATTTAAATAGGACAACACCAGACGATTAATTAGTAGTGATTGAAAAAAATAAATTATCTATTTTTTCTTTATTGCGTAATATCTGAAAATAACCGTATCATTTTTTTGTATAAAAATATTCTGGTGTTGTTCTGATTTTCATAGCAATAACAAAGCTAGACAGACATACAGGAATTACACAATTAAGGCAACTCTACACATGGCAAATAAAAGTTAATAGTTGCACATTCGATAACTTGTTAAGTTAATTAATGGAAAATTAAAAAAATTAAAACAAATTGAACCAAACATTGACATGAACATCTGAACGTCATCGTTAGGCACTAATTTAGGTGGTATTGTGATATATCATTTACAATTTTTTACGTCCGCGCTTGGGGACCGATTGTGGTGTTTTTCGTATCGCATGCGAGGGAAATGCAAATCATTTGAACTCAGCAAGAGGGAGAGCAGTTGTAAGTATCATGATGTTAAATGTAAAAGACAAATTAGGTTTAACACTAGTTATGAATGTGGTTCGTGCTTTATAGTTACATGTTTCTTTAGTTTTGAAAAAAAACCATATTTTTTTGAAGGTCACATAATGAGTATGAGATTCATACATAATAATCTAATACTTGAAATGGATTGTATGCATTTCTGAATAGTTCACAAACACAGAATGACCTTCGCCTAATAAACACTCTATTTTTTTTATTTTTATCTGTATAATAACAAAAGTTCTATTAAAATACATCCAGCCGGATTAATCAAGAAAGCAGAAGATAAATACTATAAAACCTATACAATTGGCTTATAAAATACCTCGAACATCACATTTTTCTAAAAATATTCTAGGTACAATTTCATTATGTGTATTCATGTAAAATAAATAACTAAATAGCTAGTAGTAGTTTATACAAGATACATATATGAAATAGTTGCAGAGGAAAGGTAAAGTTACTTTTCTTTAAGTTACAAAATACCAACGTAATCACAAATTAAGCCCTTGAACTTTGAAGTTTTGGACTTCTGGAGTAAATCTGACTACAAAGTGAAAGGCTTCACTGAACTATACAATCGAAATAAGCGTTTTACATCAAAGATGAAAACAGATTTATAAATACTGTTTAAGCCCCTACTTATAAAATACCTTTTTATAATAATACATCATAAGTATCCCTACGGCGCGCGGCGGCCTTATATCAAAGACTAGCTATGTATAGTATTGTCTTGTATTCGCATGGTCGGATTGAAGGTATAAAATAAAAATTACGTAATTAAAAAGTTAGGCAACAAAAAAAAATTATGAACTCCAAATAATATAAAATTCTTAATACATTTAATAATGAAGCCCCTGTACAATATAGCAAAATAATTAAATTAGATTGGGCCGTGTTGGGCTTACTGCATGACGTTGTACAAGAAAATGAGGTTTCCAGACGCTTTATGAATAAAGATCAGAAATTAGATAGGATCAAAGTGTAATAATAAATATAAAGAGCAGAAAATAATTAACACAGAAACTCATATTGCACTAATGGTTTTATAAATACTTGAAGGTTATTTAAAATTTCATGGCAAAGTAGAATCAATTTTATTGCCTCCTTTTCTATACACAAATATTAGTGAAACGACCGCAAGTACATTAAATCTTTAATAATAAGCTTTCAAATCTTTTTTGGGTCTCCGTACCTAATAATATATATATCTTTATATATATAATTCTTCTGTGAGTGTGTATGTCACTGAACTTCTCTCAAACGACTGGACCGATTTTGATGAAATTTTTTGTGTGTATTCAAGGGGATCTGGGAATGGTTTAGATTCACAATTTGAATAATAATTTTCATCAAAAAAATTATTAAAAAAAATTTGAAATTTTCAAATTAAAGACGTGTAGACAGGACAACGTCTGTCGGGTCCGCTAGTAATATATATAAATAAAAAACATAATTGTATCCATCCATACTTTCATGTGCCGATATTTGCGAATGCATTGAATAAAAAAAATTGAAATTTAATAGAGTGTATAGAAATAAATCGTTTTCAGATTTATTTTTTGGTAATTAGACTAGAAAAGTAGCCCTCCTCAGATTTGACTCGCACTTGACTATTTTCAATAAATAAATTATGAGTGTGTGTAGAGGGATCTGAAAGTCCATTCGAGTTATGATAACTATAAAAAAAAACTACGTTTAAAAAACCGACTTCAAAAACTAAAAAGTATAAAATAACTTAATAAAGATTTAATTTAATACACCTCTTATGTAAACCTAATACCTTTAATATTAATAAAATACTATTATCTGTTTGTGCTACGTATAGATAGGTTTGAAGTCGAACCTCCTGCTTTTTGAAGTCGGTTAATAATATAATAATACCCATTATCTAGTTAGCCTGAACCATGTCGATTTAATTATGAGGACATTCTAAATTGGCACAAAGCCCTTAAACTAAAGACTAAATGTTCTTATCTTCGATTAAAAAGTTCTTTATCTTTTTTTTTTGTTATTTTAGAAAAATAATAAAAATTTTGCTTTTGAAATAATGAGAGATAGATTTAAATATTATTATAAAAATTTTAGGTATAATAAAGTTATAAATAAAAAAATAAACTCAATATAACTAAATTTAGATATGAAGACGTTTATAAAAAATAAGAATTAAAAATGTAGCAGAGCTTAATCAAAGGAAGCACTTGATAAAATATTCGTTGTAGTTATAATATTTACTTTCCACATTTTATGGCTGCTTTACATGGTTATGAAACTTTGTGCTTAAAAGAGTTGGTTTTAGTGTAAAAGCCGAATTATGAGAAAACGTGTAAAAACGTACAAATTATATATAATAATATTTTTAAAAATATTTTAATGTAAAAAGTCGTCAAACCACTTGTAAAGTAGACACAAACAAACATATACATGTATACCAACTCAATTTAGATTTAAAGTTTGATTTCATACGTTTTATTAACGTTTTAACGAGGTATTTATAAAGCATTGTACTAATTTTCTCTAGTTTATGAATCTTATTCACGCTACTTAGGTTCTAGTTTAAAAAATTATTAACACACAAAAGATTCATAAAACGCAAATCTAAAATGTAGGTCAATGTTTGTTCAACAGAGTTAATAACAAACAACACAACGTGCAAAATTCTAAAACATTCACGGTGTTTAACAATAACATTGCGCACAACAAAGGTGAATCGAAATTACTACTATTAAGGTGTTACCTTGCCGCAAGCTTTGCACTTGCCCTTCTCAGAGCGCCGATGGGCCCAGTGATGATGAGTGAGAGTTTGTTCCCTGTACTGACGAACTCCAACATCTCGGAATGTGGGCTTGCAGGTGAACTGCACTCGGTCTATCAAGATATCGATGCAGGCAGTATGAGCGACGATTTTGCACGCTGAACATTTCATTCGAGCCCCATGTTTCTGTTGGAACATAGGTGTTACTTTTATAAATACTGGTTAATAGTATTACAATAAAGCTTAACATCAATAACAGATTAATGTTATTTTTATTGTAAACTAGCGACTCATTCTCGATTCGCTCGGGTTCGTTCCTAGGGTATGTATACAACTTCCCTATTTGAATCGAATATTATTAAATTTTTCATTGGTTTCCTAATTGGTTGGTTTTCGTGGGACCCTAAAAAAAGTAGCCTACGTTACTCCTTATTACATCAGCTATCTGCCAGTGAAAGTCCCGTCACAATCGGTCCAGCCATTTCAGATATTAGCCGGAACAAACAAACAGACAGACAGATAAAAATTGTAAAAAATGTTGTTTTGGTATATGTACCGAGTATACATCCCTAAGCATTTAGTAAAAAGCTGTTATTTTGACTTTACAAACAGACACATCAATTTTATTTATCACACATTTTCCATCGCCCGTAAACATTGAATATTTCTACTATGTTATGCAAGCATTGAACTAATGTGTACTAAGTAGGTTTCGACTTAGCGAATTGTCAACCAGAAGGAGATATGCAGGAATTAAAGATTTCTCCGGGACTTTCAACGAGTAAGAAGTTCCAGTTAGAAACACATACAGCGACATGGCAGACGTGGTGAATAATAATTATTATACGATTATCAATTCTCACTTTGGAATGGTCACATTATTAACATTGTAGGTACAGCAATGAAATATTATTATTGGACATAGTAATGTTAAATACCCATAGGTAATATTTCAATATGTGAAACATAGTTTAGATAATTTTTTTAAGAATCTGAATCTGATTTTTGATGATATTTTCTCCTCGAAATCTTCAAATAAGCACAAATATGAATATATTTTTAAGCCATAAATCATGCCCGTGTATACCCGTAATTGAATAAGTGTGTAAATTGAAGGCAACTCAAGTAGAATAATTTCATCCATCAGACCTGAATATGTTAACGCGTCAAAGACTGAGTCATCAACTTTTTCGTTGAAAATATTTCAAAATAAAATTTATTTTTATATTATTTTTCATAAAAGTAAAGGTGTTTTTGACAACAATCGTGTTTGTGAGTAGAAGACCGAGAGATTTTTTGGTGCAAACAGATCAAATCTTTCTATTGTATTGGTATATATTAGAGTTTGGTTAAGGAAAGGCTAGGCATCAGCAATGGCCACTTAGGACGCTTTGCATCGACATCGGCGGAAATTAGAGAACATGAAAATGGCTCTACTCTCTATTTATTTTGAAAGTACATACCTAAACAAATCGAAAAATAAAAAATAGTATACATGTGCAAATTTGATATCATACTATCAATATTCAAAAAGGACAATCTCCAATATTACCTAAACTATGAAAAAACTTTTACTGTATTTTGATACTCATAACACAATAACAAGCAAAACAAAGTATTATTTGTATTCGTGACTTGTTACCTTAATGACATCTGTAGCGTTATCTTACACTGACGTCAGATACCGCTGTGTTAACTTCGTATGTCAGGATTCGAAATGTCAGATCTCAATTTACATTACGACTAGGGTAACCTGGTAATCTTAACATTTATCCCTAACCTTGATAACGAAATAATAGTGGATTAATATAACGTGTATACATTTTATCTAGTTAGAGAACGATTATGTTTGGATTTAGGTAAATTGCAAATTTAGGTGGATCTTCTATATGTTGATCCTAGAGTTTTTAATTCATAACATAAAAAATCGTATTATCCAAGATTCAATCTACTGCATATAATGTATTGATATTCAATGTCGGGAAATGCATTTACGCATACCACCTGATCCCCCAGGTGGTGATGTGGGGCTCACCGGCTAGAAGAGCCGGTACTACCTACTAAAACCCGACATTCCCCTCCCCTCCGCCTTAATGGGACGCCGCAGGATCGCTTGCGCATAACTACTACGGCGCCCCGGCGGCAGGTCTGCCTAAATAGGCAGACCACCAAACCAATGGGGCTGCTCCACAGTCAACTCTGCTACGCCAGAGAGGTACCCGGAGCAGCCCCATTAAACCTAACCACCGCCCACCGAAGTGGGCCACCTCCAATCGGCTGCAGAGGACAGGGAGAGCAGCAACGAAACACCGACACTCCTCTTCCCCTGCAGCCCCACCGCGTCCGCCATCAAACGGTGGCGGCCCCATCTAGGCCGCGGAAGGTAGGGAGAACGGCGCACCGAAATACCGGCACTCCTCTCCCGCCGCGGCCTACTCCTCCGCCGGATGCGGGCCTGCGACCACAGTCCCGCAACCGGCACCCATCATCCGGTTGTGGGACCAAGCGGTCCCACCACCGGTGGCCGCAACGTCTTCGGCTCGAGTCCTAGACGAGCGGCCCCACCCAAGCCATTTGGTCCGCGCCGGATTTCTCCGGTACCACCCGCCGCCCTAAGCGGGTGGCATTCCCCTATCCGCCACCTGGGGACGCGCCCGGTAGGAGTTGGCTTCTCCCCCGGGGATATTCAAACCTCTATCGTAACAGTCACAAGTCTTAGCTATGTTTGGTTAATATCGGTCCAGCAGCGTAAGAGTATCAGCTCTTTTCCAAAATTATGTAAGGCATTTTGGCGTATGATTACTCGATTAAGTGCTTCACGCGTGCCAGTGTAATCGATAAATGACAATTTGCGTAGGGTTTTTTTTATTTTGTTTTATTATTCATTCATTCATTCATTCATTCAAAAGCTAACAGTTGCATCTGTGTCTTGAAAATCAGGTATGTTTAATTGTTGCGAACAAAACTTTAAACGCATCAGCTACACTTTGACTTAGGCTGCGTCCGCATAGGCAGGCGGCTTGCTTAGCGCTTAAAGCCTAGCGAGTCACCTAGCCAGTAGCTTAAGTAAAGCGAACCTATTAGAATGTTTGCAACCGGCCGCACTGCTAGTCGCCTAGCTAGTCGCTTAGCGTGTATCTAAGTAAACAAACGTGTTGGTTTTTTGTCACGAGGCGCGAGGTATTTTAAAAGAAAAAATGGATGAAATTTGCATCAGTTTTTAAAAGAGAACCTCTGTGAAAAAGGCTCTAGGCGCTAAGCCAACCGCCTGTCTGTGCGGACGTAGCCTTAAGGTTTGAGTCGCTAGTTTCAAGTTAATAAAATGTATAATCGTTGAATTTTTCAGAATCCGTCTTTACTACATTGCGAAGAAAGATTCTCTTTTAATGTCTTCTAGACAAAAATTGGTCATAGTTCACCACGCTGGCTAAGCCGCACTTAACCAGCGTGGTGGACTATGGCCTGATTCCCCTGGTATTGAAGGGATGCTCGTGACCAGCAGTGGAACGTTATAAAAAGGGCTGAATACATGATTGACTTAGTCCGGTCTACTTATTGCATAACATCGTCTACGCCTCTATGACTCTTCTGTCATTGCAGACATTGCAGCACTCGCGCAAACCAATCCCTGCTTTCGGTATAAATTTAAACCAAACATGTCCGTCTGTAATCTCAGAAGTGATTCGTATTTTGATAATACATCGTTTTGGTCACTTTTTGTGTGGAATTTGTTCTGAATTAGACTTCCTGATTTCGTAGATTGGTATGTACCAATGTGCTGATAGTGATTAGGCAGGAAGACTGATTGCAATTTATTAAGAAAATCACTTGACGCATTACGCGTAAAATGCTATTAACACATGGTTCTAACTTAAGCCCCTATTAACGTCTTATTTAGTCGAGTAAGTTAATGAAATAAATTGTATCAGTTATGTGCTATTTGCTAAGACTTGTTTGTTTAATGTGTAAGTTAAACAAAATCACTTTCCGTCATTTCATTAAAACTCGAACACACAACTTTCGGGACTAACAAGGAACAAAAGTGATTACCGTGTGCTAATGGGTAATTCGGTGTTGGAGACAGTAATGATAATATCTTTCGGAGAAAATAAAGATAATAGCATTTTTCTTAGAAATATTATAAGCAATGAACTCTAGAAATGTCTTTAAGAATACGATATAATCAACACTAGATATATAAACTGTTTGTCTAATAAACTCGTTACGTTTTAAAACAAATACGAGTATAATATCAATTGTACGAGTAGATGTTAGTGCTCATTGTTAATTCAGAAAAAATACGAGTGCACTCAATTCAACACAGAAAAATGTAAGTGAAACAACTATGGAAACGTGTAAATTACAATACATTATTTTAATAAACTTATGGCGATATTTAATACCATGGAGTTTATATAATATACTAGCAACTCACCCTCGCTTCGCTTCGGTTCGTCCCTAGGTTGATTCCCCATACAAACTTTCATCCCCATTTTTACCCCCTTAAGGGATGATTTCGGAAAAAAAATATCTTATGTCCTTTCCAGGGTCTCAAACTATTATCTTCTTACCAAATCTCATCTAAATCGGTCCAGTAATTTTTGAATTTATTCTTTACAAACATACCAAAATACAAATCTATCCTCTTTATAACATTAGTGTAGACTGTAGAAGTATAGCTATAGTGTAGGAAATTGATATAATTGAATCATTTAGCTGTGTTTAGTCTAATCAAGTTATTCTTCTTACATATTCTTATCTTAGTGATTATAATTTTTATTTTTAATGAAACTGTACCAAATTGGAACTGAAAGTCCATATTCTAAGAGCCACCACGGCCAAACCAAAAACAACTTAAAATCAACTACATCATATGTGATTGCCTTATAATACGTAAAATTTTGTGATCAATTACCAACCTCTTAAACTCCAAAGCTCACCCTATATTTTGCACATGTTCTGACGATCTCGTGCCCTCATTAGATTTATTTATTACGTAAATAGAACAAGCCACCGCAATTAGTGAATGATTGTCGCTGTTCACCCTGTGGCAGTCTTTTGTTGTATCGACAGTGACAGGTCATTGCGGTGTTAACGGTAGAAATAGCTCATTAATCTTATATTCAACTAACGACCGCGAACACACAATAGATAGGAACGGCGGTAATGGTTACCGAATAAATTATACTTCTTACCCTGTTGCTTGAAAGCCTGCTACGACCGATATAGGTACGTACAGCTGTTGTGAGTTTTAAAATATACGGAGGAGCTATACATCTAGGTTAATATAATAAAGCTGATGACTTTGTTTTTTGTTAGAATCTGATCTCTGGAAATATCTGTCGCATTTGAAATTTTATTTACATATATTACTCAATTCGTGGGGAAGGTTGTAAGATATTTATATATAATAATCTATCATCGAGCTACGAATTTTAGGATCGAATCAGTTATACATAAATAGACTACGCGGGTGGATGCGCGGGAGAAGCTAGTATAATTAATTTTAATATAAGGTTTTTGTGTAAAATAAGTGCTAAAACTGAGAAAATAAAATACGGTTCGGTTCGGTTTCAGTTACATTTTAAATAGGCTGCGTTAGTAAATAAATAAACAAAATTTGAGTACAGGGCATATTCACTTACAAAAGGCAAAAAAATATTTTACTCTTTCAATAGCGAATATTAATAAAACCCGTTGTTTGACCGGCAATATAAAGATATCAGCATGCTAAATTTTACTAAATTAGGTGCATAAGTTGTTGTGTACTAAGTTATATAAGTTACTTTAGTTTTTTTAACTATCCCACGGGAATTCTTTAATTTTCCGGGATGAAAAGTATCCAAAATGTTGACCGGAGATATAAGGTACCACCATACAAAATTTCATTTAAATCGGTCCAACAGTTTCGGAAATTAGCCCGTACAAACAGACAGACAAAGAAACAAAAAAATTGAAAAAATCTGGATTTGTTTTATTTCTCTTCTAACATCCCCCTGGCTCGGTTTTTAGCATTTTTTTCTATGTACAGATATTCGATCTCTATTGTTTTATTATAGTATAGATTATACTGTAGCTGCTTTTAAGACATTCCTCATTGAATAATGTAATAGGACGATAGAAAATAGATACCTAATATTTTAGTCAAAAGTACGCAGATTATTAAAGAGTAGGTAGGTACATATTGATCTCGTTAAAATTTAAATGCAATTTCAATTTGTTTTTAAAAGAGAAGGGAAAAAATATTTTACTATTGGAATATTTTAAATTTCAATGGCCGCTGTTGTCCATTATCTTGCAGTTAAAGTGGAAACATGTGGGAAGTTTCACGACAAAAGTGCATGAAGAAAGTATGTATTGAGTCTCGATATCTGGAGTGCCTACTCCAGTAATGAGTCTTATCTTGTGCTGCGGTGGCTGTTTTTTACAAGACAACGCAAAGCTTTAAGAACACTTTTATGACAGTCACTGGAATTTTAATTATATTTTAGACTAGCGACTCACCCTCGCTTCGCTCGGGTTCGTCCCTAGGTACATATAATTTTTTGAGCGGAACCCTATTTCTTTTACTAAAAAGTAGCTTAAGTTACTTCTTATAACATCAACTACCTGACAGTGAAAGTCCCATCAAAATCGGCCCAGACGTTTCACAGATTAGCCGGAGCAAACAGACAGAAAGACAGACAGACAATTTTTTTTTAATAATTAGGTATTGTGTTTTTTTTTATAAATCTATACATATAATAAAATTGTAACTAAGCCGAATTTGTACATTAAATATTTTTTGGAAAATCTTATTGAAATAAACATTAATATCCATACAGACGCTGAATCTATAGTTTTTAGAATTTTGGTCTGTCTGTCTGTTACCGCATCACAGAAAAACCACTGGAGGGATTTTGATAAAACTTGGTATGGTGATAGCTAGTTATCCGGGTCAACATATAGGATACTTTTTACCGCGGGAAAATGTCTCATTTCTGAGAAAAATACCAAAAACGGCAATGTAAGATTACACTAATATGTAAAACCTAAGAATTTGGTTTTTGGTCATCTGAACGCGGGCGGAGTCGCAGGCAATGCTAGTACCATATACATATAATTCCATATGCATTTAGTAAAAAGTTGTTATCTTGGCATTACAAACAGACACTTTAATTTTATTTATCTGTATAGATTAGCATGAATAAATATTATAATTATACACAATATACAGAGCTATGAGAGTCGAAGATTACCGCAAGTTTTTATTATCTCTCTAATGCCCGATTTCACCAACATCACCTAAGTTTAAGGGATCTTCTAAGCATGGTTAGGGGACTGTTAGGGAACAGTTTCTGTTTCACCGACAGTCAGACAGGGGTCACCTAAATATTAAAAGGCCCCCTAAGTTTAGGTGCTCGAAATATGGGCTTAAAGACGATCGTAAAACGAAATTTAATTTAAGGGGTAGTTTAGGGGACTTTTAAGCTAGGGATCCCATACGTAGGTTATGGGTTGTTGGTGAAATCGGGCATAAGGGTTTCGAATACTTTGCTATGGAAGCTGGTATCAGCCGCTAGCAGCAAGCTTTTTATTTCCAAAGTTTATTTTAGAGTTCGAACAGTGTTTTATAGAAATTAGCATTAGCCACTCGCATGTACCTAGTTTTAGTTTTCAGAAAAAGTCCATCGTGCGTCACAAATTTAAAAATAATCATAAATATAGCGGCAGTTGGCAATGCCGCTAAGGTTCTATAAACCTTAACAAGTTAAAAAGTAATAACAGTTAATCATTATTATTATTATTATATTATTGTACCTGGCACTCAGATTCGCCTACATAGCAGCAATCTCCAGACACCGATGTGGGCGCCCAAAGGTGTTCGCCACTAATGGCGGCATCGCTCCAGTCTGGTGTCGAGCGCAATACCCGTGCGCTTCCGCCTGCACTCTCGCTTGTGCGTCTGTGAACAATATATTAATAATATATTTAAATGCTAGTACTTTAGTTTAAGAACACATGATACAAGAGTAAATGTAATATTTACTTATGTATAAATATTTGTAGTATATGAATCAGTACTAAAGTAATAAATATTATTTAAAATCAGTACAATTACTCGTAAAAGTATTAAGTTTCTTCTAAGAAGTTTTGTCCCTGGAAATCATGTGCATATTTTAAATCCCTCCACGACCGCGGAAACGCCGGCGTTACATTAATAATAGATTTCTTAGAAATTTAATTAATCTATTAGACATTTACCTGGAGGTGTTTATTCTGTGTTATCAATATTCATGGTAGTTCTACATATATATATATATATATATATATATATATATATATATAAGAAAATCCAGGCAGTAGCTAGTTTTTAGGGTGTTATACTCAAAGGATATAGGGTTACTCAAAGTTTGAAACTAATACTAAAACCCACGCTATTCACAGATTTGCTTGTCCATTTTTTGCCGGCTTACCGTTGGCCTATATAAATCTTTTAAATAGTAGGTAATAGGTTACCAATTTGCCACAAAGTAGTTTTATTTATTATGGTTTATTTATTTAAATAGGTAATTAAATGTAAAAATATAAGATACGAGTTTTTAAAGTTCTTTTTTTGCAACATGTAATAACAATCGGCCAAATGAGAGTGGTAATTATATTTGACCAGATTTTTGGATTTTTTACTATAGCTGCTAGAAGTAATAAAAGTAATAAAAATTTAAAGGAATGTATGAACTGTTAATGTGCTCTTTGACTCCATTTACTATACTCCATTTACTGGTATTGATTATATCAAATGGCGAACAATATTGCCAGTCATAGATACAATCATGATCGTGATCAAAAAGCTTTCATTGCATTGAATAAAGCAATTTGTATGAGAAAATTATATATGTACATAAGTTCACATTATTTTACAAGTTTTGAAAATATTTTTTGTCTTATCTTACAATACTAGTAGTACTATAGTACTACTTATGTACTTACTACCTTTCAAAGAATATGAGTTTCATTTCTTTTATAATAAATTGTAATTCAATAAAAATGTGAATTAAAGTTAATAAATAATAATATTTGATTCAGTATAATTATTTTTTTTTTCTTTTACAAATATTGTTATTTGACTTGGATTTGACGTGACCATAGTTGTCGTAGACACATACCTATAATTACTAATCTATGATCATTTTAATTTTGTTTTATTTTTACTCTAGTACTAATACATACTAATAATATTATAGATAAATGGGCCAATTTGTAATGGAAACACAGTTATAATTATATTACATAGTTTTTACTTTTATATAAAATATAATAATGGATGGTATGCATGTTAAAAGTAACTTTAATATCAGGTAAAATGAACCATAAAATATTCATATTTTAGGCATGTTAACTTGCTTTTATATTCAGTTAGGCAATATTTTAATTAAGCACTAAAATATTTTTATAACAAATGTTATTAAATTCTCTTTGTGAACGCTTAAAAATATCTGGCTGATAATATTTTTAGAAACAGTAAATTAAAAATCGAACGTTTTATAATTTTGTTTGCTTATTTTTTTATTTGTCACTAAGCTGCCCTAGAAACTTATGATTAGGCTATACGTAAAATAGAATAAAATAATTGAATATATTTAAGTAAATAAATAAGCTTTTTTCGTTGAAATAAAAGTACATATTACATAAAACAACAAAACAATCGTTATTTTTAGATTATAAAGATGGATTGTGCACATTGTAAAAGGACAATGGAGGGCTGTGCATGTATAATATGCAGTCGTTGTGCCTCCCAGTTTCACCTGGAGTGCGTAAGTAGCGAGCACTTGGTACCCAGTACGAACAGTTGGAGATGCTGCCAATGTGAAATGTCTTATTCATCCGGAATGGCACCCCAGGTCTTGAACTCATTTGTTAATGCGTAGGTAACTTAAACCTTCCATCCGATATACAACCCTAACAAGTTTTATTTTTATTCATAACCATTCCGTAGGTATCTAAATACTATTATATAAATATATTTAAATATAAATTCGAATTAAATCTTCCGAATATATGTAAAAATTCCAGTTAATTCTATTCACGATTAAATTATTTATTCGGATATTTACTTTGTTTTATTTCGTTTTAAAATTATGATTTTTGTACAACTTTACAAATAATTATGTATGTGTATGTAAAGATGGTTTGCGCTACAAAATCTTTACGTGTACTTCATACAATTTAAAACTATTAGAATTGTGAGTTGTCGCCATGGTGCTTTTTTCCTATGGCAACTCTAGTGTGAGGCGCTCTCTTTAACTTTTACCAAAAAGGAATGGTGGTAAATACGTTACTACTTGACATTTCTTCAGGCGTCAGCACGAAAAATACTTTGCAATAGCTGCTGGCTCGGTGAGGACGATAAACGGTAGTTGTAAGTCTATAGGTTTAAAGTGTTTTATGTAAAATCATATTATTTGTACTGAGTTAGAAAATATATGTACCTATATAAATGAATAAAGTTATTGTTTCAATATTTCATGTAGATTCATATACCTAATTGTAATTAAATGCATCGAAATATCTATCTATACATATAATAAAATTGTAACTAAGCCGAATCTGTACATTAAATATTTTTTGGAAAATCTTAGTGAAATAAACATTATTATCGATACAGAGGCCGAATCTATAGTTTTTAGAATTTTTGTCTGCCTGTCTGCTACCACATCACAGAAAGAGTACTATATTCCTTCGTGAACTTGTTTTCATCTTTTTAGTTAGCTTTTATGCAGTCGGGTTTTTTATTTTTATAATACATTTATTTATTTACAGCTTTTTAAATATTTTTAAGTATGAAAATAAGCGAGAATGGTTGTTAACCAACTTTAAATCATTATATATCCTAAACTGTTATTTAAAATGAAAAATGAAGACAGAAACCTAAAACGATTTTTAAATACCTATTCAGCGATACTCCATTTGACATAGTTCGTCGATTTGCATTTTTTTTTCGTATTCACATTATGGCGTCCAAAATCGGCCATTTTGATTTTCCAAATTTTTATGCTTTCTACGATTTTTTTCGGTCATTTTATAGTACCCTGTATAGCATTGGCGCCGTCATGACGAATCAACCGACGTGTCATTTATCAAAATCGGCCCATGCATTTGGTCTAAATAGTGCCACTAAGGTACAAACCCACATACATACATACATAGACTAATAAACATATTACCCTCCTTTGCGTCGCGCAGTCGGGTAAAAAGGTAGTCCCAGTGGGAAACTTCTTCTCTGGAAGGTTCTGATATTTTCATGTGCGAATTATTTCCAAAATTATTACTACTTGTCTTACGGTGAAGGAAAACATCGTGAGGAAAAGTCCATTTCTGAGAGAGCCTAGTAAGTTTTCGAAAGATCGCCAAAGCACGCTTGCCCAGCGTGGCGGACTATGGCCTGTTCCCCCTCACATCGATGGGAGTCCCGTGCCCAGTAGTGGCAGTAGTGGAATTTTAAAAAGGGCTGTATACCTATGGAACCTTACATTATATATCTAGTTAATTTTTTAAAATAAATTTATTTATCTATTTATAGAAAATATTTAAGTGATTCTCCATAATACATAATTGTACAATAAGAGATTTTGTCATTGAAGAAATCTTATAATGCCACATTTCATTTAGCCGTTAGTTACGGCTTAGTATTGGTTTCCCGACTAACGACGCTTTAAGCTGTGTATTTACTATGAACCTAATGTTCTGTGATATTTCGATCTCGGCAATGATCCCAATGGTAGTAGAAATTACTGTAGTTATGAATTTTTAAGATTATAGTTTGCAATATATTTAAGTCCTTTTTTGCGGAAGGCTCCACTCACCTGTTACGACAATCAAAAGTGTACCCACGTATATAAAAATGTATGTAGCTTATGTACTCTCACCCGACTCTTTCCTCCTAATCGCCTTTTTGGAGTTTAGTGAGCGCAAAAAGGACAGGGCAAAATTGTAATAAGTTAACAAAGGGTCATGTCATGTAAAAAATTTTAGCTGAAAAACTTATAACACTCCTCATTTTGCGTCGGGAGTTAAAAAGAGGTAGCGATTATGTAATCGTAGAGAGAATTTTTTTTATAAGTAATGAGATGACGTTAATAAAATAAAAAATAATACAATTCATAAATCTATTAATTACCTATATAAAATATTAAATAGGATTTATATGCATAATTATTGTAAAGTAATTATTTTACAATTATGCATATAAATACTATTTTTAGATATATAATAATTTATGAATAATTTATTTTATTATTAAAGTGTACCACACTTTGTTTCATTGAAGTAGCTCCAGGCATAGAATATACTAAGATATCCGTGAATTATAACAAAGAAAAATAATTTTCATGATTAATCAACAGTTACCTACTTGGTAGAATAAAATTATAACTTGTATAAAGGATTAAAAATAAATTTTTGACACAGTGAACAATTTTTGAAGAAATACATAATATATAACTGGAAATTTCCTCATTGGTAGTTAATGGTTAGATGAAAGACTTCATGGGTTCGAGTGGTCGGGTCGAAAAGCTTAGTGAGCTTCTGTCAAGAGAATTTGGTACAAATTACACCCTTGGTCGGAGAGCATGTTAAGCAATCAAACGTGAGCCTAATTTCTTACGAGTCGCGCCAGATTTTGAGAATAAAATAAAATATTTATTGCACCTGTTTGTATACGCGCTTGTGTCATGATAATATCTTCTATGTAATTCTTTAGTCTCATTGAGATTAGCCGCTGCAACTGAAATCTGTCAGAAGGACATGATCATCAATATTCTTGCATAGATGCCAGCATAGAACGCCGTTACATTAAAATAAAATATCTGAACCATGCTTAAGATTATGTGTCAATTCATGACAAAAACAGAAATTGCTGTAAGCGAGAAAGAGATGGAACTCTTTTTAGAAATAAATTGACTTTTTTAGTACAATGGACATTCTAGAATATTCTTTTTTTAAATTAAAATATATGTATAAAACGCGGCATTACGCTAAGTAATTAATACAAGTTCGGGGTAAAACGATAATTAGAAGAAATATGAAGAAGTGATTAGTGAAATTTGAGTGTAGGCCAAACCTCCTTTAAATGAGTTAGATGTTATAAATGAGTTTTTTAATTTAAGTTCATAGTAACAGAGTTACATAATTCTAAAGTAAAGAACTTTGTGTAATCCCCATCCCAACATTAATTTTTAAAGCATAGGTGATAAGGTAGCAAATTCTAAGTTTAAACTAGTCGAACTTCCACAATCTTTTAAGTATGGTTTTGAGGAAACAAGTTGAGTAGTTAAAGATCAGCTTTGTTTATTTAGAAAACCGCAAAAATTAACTGTTTCTCCTAAAATTCTTCTGTTCTTCCTAAGTTTCTTTTTCAGAAAAACGAAAATATTTACAATGTAAGTCTTACATAGGTATCCCAGATTGATACTGGTAGTGAATGAAAGAAAAAAAAATTAAACTCTAAAATCAAACAACATATAACGAAAACTGTTAAAATGTGTTTGTATCTGTTGTGTACGAAACGAGTCTGACTTTTACCTTTTTATTGAGTATAGCATTTTAGAGTATAATTTCTTAATCACAGTAGCCTACGCGGTCTTCCACGAAACAGTTCTCTTAGTATAACTTTACTTAACAACAACCATTCGTCGTCTTTGAACTGATATTAAATCCCTGGCGCCCAAAAGTTCCCAGCTTCTACTATAGTTGGTTTTGATATTAGGTAAGCTTTACAGCTCCTATTTACATATTAATATCTCGTCCTGATATTACGCGACGTTTATTGTAAAAGCCATATATTTTACTGCAACTTAAAGGTTAATTAAACAACAAATGGAAGCAAGCAATATTATATAATAACAATAATAATAAAATAACGTAATAATAATATAAAATAATAATATTAATATTGTTTATTCAAGTTATTGGTGCCAGCCGATACAAAGCAAAGCACACCGACTTCGAAAATATTTGA